ATGGCAGTACACGAACCGTACTCAATGCAAAATCAAAAGTCAAGATTTTTTTTGTTTAACTTACCAACTAGGTTGCTGTCACGGAAGAGAGAAAAGAAAAAACACACCATAATCCAATTCTTGGCATCCCTTTTCAGGAGGGTGTCAACATTCTGAAGCTTCGTATCCAATTTCTAGGCCTTGAACAAACTGGTATGGTCCTTTTGGTTCTATATAGCTAGCTTTTTATGGTATCCATGAATATTATTTTAAAGGGGTTTCAGAAGCTTTGCAGATGCGCAAGAGCTTTCGTTGTTTGGCATTTCCTGAATGTGATTTCCATTTGGATTTTGGCTGAGTCCTAATCTTCACATGTGCTAATTAACTTATTGCTTATTCATCATGCCCATCTCATCTTTTCGAATATTTGTTTTGAACTTTCTTTTAAAGTTTTTATTAGGGATTGAACAAAATATTCATCTGTTGGCTTTAATCCAGACAAAAGGACTATTGCACTATGTATTAATATTCTCTCCGTCTCATAATTATTGTCCAGTTTGAGTTTTTATTTTTAATAATAATTATGAACGGAGGGAATACTATATTTTGGTTTGACTTGCCGCCTATCGGAACAAGAGGAAAAGACCATTTGACTACTTGAGTGGCGACTCGAAAAGGTAATCTCAATGAAAGAGGGGCAAAAAAAAAAGGAAGGAAAAAAAAGAGGAAGAAGTAGAAGAAAAAAACCTTATTAATAAAGGGACTGTATGGCATAAATGACGATTATCACCAAATTAATTTCTCCACTTACCTCAAAAAATAATATAATGTTTATTTAACTGAAACAATATATACTATGCAAAATTCTTTTTAAAACGAAAAGAATCATAAATTAGTATCGCTATCTCTATGATGAAGAAACTGCAGATGTAACCACTCAAATAATAAATGAAATAATAATATAGAACAAAGTGACAAAGGACAAGGACGTAAAAAATATGTAAGGTAAAATGTACAAAAGGCTGCGATGATATTTTATAATTAATATTAATAACAAGTAAATGAAAAAGTTCAAGGAGTTGGGAAAAATAATAAGTTAATAATTTACGATCAATAAATTAATCCAACTTGCTGAAGTGGCCAGTGGGTAGCTAATTATTATATGACTATGATTAAGTAAGCAATCGGGGCCCATCAGCCAATATAATTATCGGTCTAAGTGTAATGGATATGCGATGGAATATTTGATGATATCTGTTATTATTAACCTACTTAATCATTGGTTTCCAAGTTGTTTTGTAATAATTCCATGCATATTCAGATTCAATTGGTAAGTAGTCGAAAGTTTCCGTTTAAATGAAAAACATCAGTCTTTAAGCCATTGAAGGAATGCTTGGATATTGGCTGCCGGAAGATTTTGGCGGGAGTTATAATCAAAAGCGTCGTCACTTTGGTTAAGGGGAGAGATGATGTTATTGATTTGAATGCAGGACTTGTGTCTGACATTCGAGATTTGTTAAGTCGTGATTGGGAGGCTGAGTTGAAGCATGAGTTTCGAAAAAAAAATTTTGTCGCGAATTATTTAGCATCTTTATCAGTCCAATATTCAGGAGGTTTACACCGATTAGAAGTTCCACCATAGGAGGTTAAAACGTGGCTGGAGCATGATATTATGAGAATTGCTTATCCCGGAAAAGTACTTATCTAGTCATTAGTTTTCTGTCTCTTTCATTGTAGCGAAAAAAAAATTATTGGATGAAAAAATTAGGAGTGCTCAAAAAAACCGGCATCGATTAACCGAACCGAAAACAGACATAAAACCGAGTCGTAATAGGTCTCGGTTAAATCGTTTTTCACTGATTAATTGGTTTGATTTTCGGTTTTGTTTATACTTTTTTTCGTTTAAACCGAATAAGTGATTATAATAATTATAATTGATAAATTATATCTTTGTCTCATATTTCTATATCATTAGTCTTTTCTATTTTGTCACATTATTTTACTAGAAAATTTTGTTGTAATAAAATATTTTTTGGTTGAATGGACTATTATAAAAAGAAAGAGTTTGATTGTTTTATTGTAAATTGAGAGTTTAAAAAAAAATTTTATTATTTGATGTATCTAAAAATATAATATGAACTATGCAAATGAGAAACTCAAAGTTAAGAAATTTGAGAAAACATCAATTATATTTTGTCCAAAAAATAGTTTCGGTTAAACCGGTAATTAAACCGATAAACCGAAACCGGAAAATTGAATACTTAATCAATTGGTTAATCGATTTTATTCAAAATTAACAAAACCGGTATTAATCAAAACCAATTAACCAATAAATCGGTCAACCGGCCGGTTGAACACCCTGGAGAAAATATATATATCCGATCAAGTTCAAGTGGAAATAGCAAATAGGTAGGCGGATACAATGAAAAGAAAGAAAATTGAGAAAAGGACAATTAGAAAAAATAAATAAATATAAAAAAAGAGTCAAATATGATGTTTTATACTGTTTTTCAAATAGCGCAAGAAACATAAAAATGAAGAAATCTATTCCTAGAAACTCATTGGGTGATTCAACAATTATGGTTACGTAACGTATACTGGCTCATAAGCCAAATAAAAATACCAAGTATATAGTATGAATCTTGTACGTTAGTTCTAACATGACGTTTTTAGCAAAATCTTTGCCACAAGCAATTAGGAATTAATTAATGATAGGGAAAAAAAAAAAATCGAAGTAGATCGTACGAGTGACGGGTTAAGACCCTGAAAAACATTGAAGCTTATCGGTCTGAAATCTTAACTCTTTCTTTTCTTTTCTTTTTTTTTTCATCTTAAAAATAGCTCTATTTTTTTTTTTATTTTTTTTTCCTTTTACTTCAATATCAATTCCTTTGCTACCTTTGCTAGTATAAGAACCTAGAATAAATAAATGAAATGTACCGTATCCTCCCCAAAAAAAAAGAGTATGTTAGTATACTACTTTTTTTTCTTGATACGGAGGAGTAATACTCGTTTTTTTTTGTCTTATAAAAATGCCCGCTGAAAAATAGTAGTAATATGGAATGATGCTCCCAAAAGGCTGGCAACATGCATCACAATTCACAACTAAGCTCCCAGGGATTTTATAATTGTTTGGAAGAAATATATCAAGAAGAGAAGGTGATCCACAACCATCTATATATAATAATTGTGTGTGGTGAGTACGTTTATAATTAATTTTCGAAATTTCTAAAATATTTGGGAGTTGGCGAAGGAATCAGAAAGTGATTCATAATTAAATATCCCTATGATTGATTCTGTATGCTTTTCCAGCACAAGAAAATTCCCAAAAAGGTTATGCATCGTGTTAATCTTTTGTAAATGTATGTATAAACTCATTATTGTAATCCAAATACTAATGATTTTGATTCAACTATGAAAACCCCTTCCAAAAGACAGTACCTTGAGTAACAAGTGAAAATTAATTCCCAAAAAAAGGGGGAAAACATGAAAATTAATTAGAATGGAAACTTGTTTGGTTGTTTCTTAAAGGAAGAATGCCGCGTCGACGCACTTTACCTCATTTTACATTTTTATCGGTAGCATTACTCATTTTGGGATACAATGTTTGTTGGTCCAATAACTCATTTTTCATTTTTACTCATTTTAACTTCTAAAGACAAAATTCAATAAAAAATAAACATCATCCAAATAACTTTTTAATTTACCTTTTAAAATATTGTATTTGGTCATTACACTATTGTAAAGTCTTCGTTTTGGTCACTGAACTATTGTAAAGTCTTGTGTTTGGTCGTTATACTATTATAAAATCTTCATTTTGGTCACTGAATTATTTTAATTTCATAAATGGTCACTATACTATAATACTTTCTAAATAAAAAACTAAACTACCTTTTAAATCTCTTCTCAAGTTCAAATAAAAAACTAAAACAAAACATTGTCCAAACAAGCACTCAGCCATTGTCACTACTCTTTGCTTAGTACCAACCAAAAAAAAAAAAAAGCATTGGATAATTATTTTGAGATAAAAGTATTAAACAAATTGCATTTATTTCAGGATAAAAAACAAAGAAAATAAAAATTTTAACTATATTATTAGACATTTATTTCAGGATTAAAAAAAAAACACACACACACTAGTTTCAGCACGTGGTGATGGTGCTGACTGCTGCTGAGCTGAAGAGCACAGTTACAGAGCACATATAATTATTTCTAGCTGTACTTGTTGCCAACACTAATCAAGTTTAATAAAGAAAATGTAATTATGTATCCGAACAAGTTGAACTATAACTAGGTGTTAGGAGTAAAAGTGGTCAGAGTTTATTTGGAACAAAATGAACAGTTATAACTTCATTTTGGTCATGGTAATTTTAGAGGTAAAAAATGACTTTCATTTCATTGTTTAAAAAATAATGTTTGTTAAAGAATGTTAAAGAGAATAGTAACAAAAACTTGCCATGAAAAAAAAAAAAAAAGAAACCTCTTAAAATTCTTTGTTACACAAGCGAATCATTGAACAATTATGATGGTGATTTAATTTACTAGATTTGCTTTGAGAGTGGAAGGAGAAGAAAAATATGCTTAGTGAATATTCTGAGCTACCTTAACAAAATCTTGTTGCAGTTCCTGCAATTCGGTATAGAATCCCACACGTAACTTTGATCTTCTTTATGAAACAATTAAGACACAGAATTATGAATCCAAACCATGTAAAAGAAAAATTATATTGACAACTTAATACCTCCAACTCAATCATTGGGAAATAACAAAAATCCTATCATTATCACCCACTCAATGCAAGAAATAATGAAACAATCCAGCAAAACAATTATGAAATGAGTAACTAATTTATTTATTTTGTTTTTTTTTTAATTGTGTAAGATGTACCATATCTGAATCATTTTACTTGATAATTTACTATGGCACTAGAAAAATGAGAGGGGAAGGGAAGGTAAGATGGATTGCAAATAATAGCAAGTTAGCATATACTTTGGAATACATTTCAATTATTCCATATTGCAGCCTTAAGTCCCTACCCCTTGAAAGAGAATACAGAATATCCACCAAAAGAGTCCATTGTCCAGTTCCACCCCCAACCCCTCGTCATCATCATCAGCCATGGATGGAGGCCCCTCAGATTCTCTTTCCAACACCACCTATACAGCAACACACAGTCACACACTCGAACCATTGTAAAATTGCTGTAATAAAAACTTGTGATTTTCTTATTAATAATCAAATTGGGTACAAATACAATACATCAAATTCTTCCTGCCAAATTTACACCCAAAAAAAATTCTTCCTTTATACAAAGAAGAAAGTCCACCTTCTCTACCTATTATGTATATTTATATAAAGCTTTAATCCACCAGCCAAAAAAGCATCCATGTCTGCTGCCTCTTCTTCCTCTTCTCTCTCTATAAATCATTTACCTCGTTTTTCTCCTTCGCCTTCTCCTTCTCCTTCTCCTTCTCCTTCTTGTCTGTGTACAACATCATCATCGTCATCATCATTAACTACTTCAACCACTTGTTTAGCTTTGAGGAACCCACCAAATTTTGCTAAAGTTTGTTGCTTTTCTACTTCAAGAAGAGAGTCCCTTGCTTTAGTTTGGATAAAGGGTCAATCTTTGCAGTGTGGAAGAACTAAAAGGCTTATGAGTCCTTCAGAACTAAAAGGGCCCCTAATTGCAGCAGCTGCAGCTAAAAACGAGACCAGCATGACCATTACGGAGGATTACATAGAGGAGGAAGAAGAGGAGAATCCTCCTCCTCTGCTTGAATCTGAGATGCAATCCCGGCCCAGGCGTATTGCTCTCTTTGTTGAGCCTTCTCCTTTTTCGTGAGTCCCTTTTGAGCTTTTGTCTGTTTAATTCTTGAATTTGTTTGTAATTCTGCTTCTGTCCAGTTTCAGCATTAATTGATGTGAAGTTTTGACCAGTTTTGATCACATGGTTGACTTTGATGGGAATGATGAAGTTGGCAATTCTTGCACCTCAGGGTGCTTTATTTTGATATTTGCTTAGTCCCGTGTTTTTTTACTGTAAGAAAATTGATGGATCGTCTCAATGTAGATAATTGAGGGATATTCGATCCCTTGTTGAACAATGCTATGGAAGATCTTCGTGAGCTACCAATGATTCCTGCTGGTATTTTGATCCTGGGACTTTTCCATTTTTCATTTACTTAATTTTACACCTGAAACACTGATGAAGGATTATAGGCTATAAGCTATTCCCACTGGTAAACTTGGCTCTTGTATGATGAACTGAATTAAACCATCCAAGCATTGCCAGGTGTTACTATTTGAACCTTTTTCTAGGCTCTGGAACCCTTCAATAATGCAATGTCATTGGTCGAGGATTTGATGGCTTGCCTACCTCTTATTTGTGTCCATTTTTGTTGGTTTTCTACTTTACCGGCAGGGTTAGATGATAAGAGTGTCGCCGTGGTGTTTCTCGCATTATTTAATTTGTAACTGATTTAATGAGAAGGGGTGCAATTTTTGTACTTCAATTTGTCGGTGCGCCTTTGATGTTAGATATTTCTCAACTTCATGGTCTATGAGAGGGCGATTTTGACTTCTCCACTTCGTTTTTGTGGTTCCCTGTTTAAGTCACATGTATTAATGTAGAATAAGATACCAAAGCTTATTGTTTTTCCTGTTTCATGTATAAAACAGCTTGGTGATGACTGTCTTTCCTATTTCTCATGCAGCTATGTTTCTGGATATAAAAATCGGTTCCAGAATTTCATCAAATATCTACGTGAAATGGGTGATGAGGTATGTCTGGTTGTCTGTAACACCTTTTTTTTTTCCCACGGGACCTCTTGTTTCCTGCTGCTTCTATTATGTGACATGGCCTATTGAACTACGTAGAAACCTATGTATAAGCTAGTTACTATAAGCCTAAATAACTGCTTGGAAGGTCCCTAATGTTCTAATCTTTAAATGAGCTTTCTGAGATTCTTATTCTGCCATTACTTTGTCCGGTGCTTTCTTCACAATTTTAATGTATATAAGATTTATCAGAAGTTCATAATTGATCATTGGATTTCTCTTTATGGGGCATGATGTAGGTAATGGTAGTCACAACACATGAAGGAGTTCCCCAAGAATTTTATGGAGCGAAATTGGTTGGATCAAGAAGGTAGTGATTGTCTGTGTTTTGCATATTATCTATATTTCTTCTTATTTTCTTTTCCTGGTATCTTAAGTACCTTACTGCATAATTACTTAATGTATATCTGTTGCCAGACCTTTAGATCAATGGTTCTGATAAGTTGCTTTGTGCTGTATTTTGTGATGTTTTCACACAGCTTTCCATGTCCGTGGTATCAGAAAGTGCCCCTTTCTCTTGCTCTTAGCCCTAGAATAATTTCTGAGGTCGCCAACTTCAAGCCAGACATTATCCATGCATCATCCCCTGGTGTGATGGTAAGTTCAACAAATTGCTATGTTTTTCTTTATTTGTTTATCCGAAGAGTTCTGGAGCGGTTCTGTTTACATACTAACTTCTTTGAACTAATTGAAAATCATTTTTCTTGATAGGTTTTTGGTGCTCTCGTCATCGCAAAACTACTATGTGTTCCCCTTGTCATGTCTTATCACACTCATGTTCCAGTGTATGTTTACATCTTGTTACTACCCCGTCTTTTGTTTTCTTTGTATTTTCAATCTATTGTACTTCCAAGTTGGGTGCTCTGGCCTGATAATAATGATTGTTGTTCTGCAGGTATATACCTAGATACACCTTTAGTTGGCTGGTGAAGCCTATGTGGCTAATTATAAGTAAGCCGATAATCTTTGTCACTGGATATGCAACTTCAATGCAGCGTTATTAAGAGCAAAAGAAATCTAATTCCCATTTTTTATCCTTTTTACGAAAACCAGAATTTCTTCATAGAGCGGCTGATCTCACTTTGGTACCATCAGCTGCCATAGGAAAGGATTTAGAAGCTGCTAGAGTGACTGCAGGTAAAATTCTTGAAATGCATACGGGTTTAATGTGTTAGAGTGGCTTGATTATATGGATTATCTACAGTTTATTTTTGGAACCATTCATAGAGTAGCAGATTATCCATTCACCAGATCTTAAAAGGAAGTTGATTTTCTTCTTGCCCACTTTCAGCCAATAGAATTCGTCTCTGGAATAAGGGTGTTGACTCTGAGAGCTTTCATCCAAGGTTCCGTTCTGAAGAGATGAGATATAAATTGAGGTGAAAATTTGTTTGCTGAGATGACTTGTCAATCTATGCTTCAATTACAAATCATCTGATTTTTCTTAATGAATTTAGTGGCGGAGAACCTGACAAGCCATTGATAGTTCATGTTGGTCGGCTTGGATATGAGAAGAGCTTGGATTTCCTCAAAAGGTATTTCATCAGTTTCTGTGTTGCTTATGCACTTGAACCTTCCACAAAATATGTTTCATTGTGTTGTTCTTATCCCTCTTTAACAATAGAACTACATGTTAAAAAACAAAGGCAGGAGTCCAGCATTTTTTCTTTTTCTTTTTTTCCCCCTCACACGACTCGCTTGTTTATTTCCTGCATCCCTCTTTGCATTCAGACATTTGAACACAGCCTATTGAAAGTTCATTTTATTTATTCCTGTTGGTAATTCATGGCTTTATTGAAATTGAGCTTATGTGATTTTATATGAACAATTTTTCAGGATGATGGACAATCTTCCAGAAGCTCGAATAGCTTTTATTGGAGATGGGCCTTACAGGTGGGTTACTATTATGCTTACATTCTTGATTTCTCAAAATTCTAGGGCCAGTATCATCACAAGTATTTAAAGATTAGTTGCTAAAAAGCTAGTCAAACTCCTGCTTGTCCTCAAGAAGATGTAGATTCATTCCATTAGTCCAGCTTCTTTTTGTTTCTTTCCTCCTCAAAATTTGTTGGTACAAATCAGCAATCAGTTCGGGAAACTTAATTACAGAATCCATTTTTGAATGAATTGCATCACGTGACCCGTGCCCTGAATTTGCTTAGTGCAAAAATGGAGACTCACGGAGATTAAACACCTATTCTATGTCTTGGTGATGAAAAATGATAAAACTTTCTTCATTTCTTTTTGTTGCTAGAGAGGAGCTGGAGAGCATGTTTGCTGGCATGCCTGCCGTGTTCACGGGCATGTTGCATGGGGAGGACCTTTCTCAGGCTTACGCCAGCGGAGATGTTTTTGTCATGCCTTCGGAATCAGAGACGCTTGGATTGGTTGTTTTGGAGGCCATGTCATCAGGTATTCCTGTGGTGGCTGCTCGTGCAGGAGGAATCCCTGATATAATCCCTGATGATCAGCAGGGTAGGATCGGCTATCTTTACAATCCCGGAGACATGGAGGACTGTTTAAGCAAACTAAAGCCCCTGTTGCATGACCGGGAGTTGAGAGAAACTATGGGCCAAGCAGCGCGGCTTGAGATGGAGAAGTATGATTGGAGGGCAGCCACTCGGAAAATACGCAACGAGCAGTACAATGCAGCCATCTGGTTCTGGAGGAAGAAGAGAGCACAGTTGCTGAGGCCGTTTCAGTGGCTATTTAAGCGTATATTTCAAACACAAGGTGAAATCACCTACAGGTGAAAGCTGCTCATGCTCTATACTTCAAGTTGCAAATACGGTAATTCTTGGAAAGCAGAAAGAAGGCATTCACTGGATATATTGAAAGGGTGGATCGCTTAGTTGCAGCATTGTATCGATATGTACAACATTTACTGCAAATATTGGTGGTCTGTAATGCTGTCATTGATTGGGTTGTGATTGGATTTTAGATATAATGCAAGTGTAATAATATTTGGAAAATGAATTTGCTCTAGCATTTTCAAGAACTCTGCATGTCTCCCTCCTTTCGTTTCCCCCTTGTTCAAAACTTGCAGTGATGCATCCCTAATGAGTAATAGAATCTACCCTGATTAGCATTGCCATAAGAGTTTCGGATCGCCCTGAATAAAATCGACTATTCCTCCCTCTCTACCTTTCGATCTTGCATGAAATTGATTCATATAAAGTGCAAACTCGGCAAAATTAAGCAACGTAAAACAGCAAAATGCATTAAGGATGCAAGAAAAAACATCTGAAAGTCTTCTTCACTCATAAACAACCCATAATCACTAACCAATCTAGTAAAATCCCATATAATTATGGATCAATTCAATATACAGATCACACCATCCTGCATTTTCCCTCCTCTGGGCATTTTCTTTAGCCTTCACTTTGGCGACCCCAAAGCCCATAGGATTAACTTCATAAGACTTGATGTTTGAACTTTTCCAAATCACCAATGATGGCGCAGAAGCAATTGCTTCAGATTATCATGAATTTTCCATTTTTGCGTCATTTGGGCTTTTTGAGATTCATTTCATGATGAAACATACTGCATGAATTCCATATCCTTTTCCAGGGCAGCCATCGTCTCCGGTGCTAAGACAACTTCAAGATCGACGCTCCCATTTCCTTCACTCCCCGGAAATGCAGAAATCTTGCCGTCGAATTTATTGGCCCGGCCACTCCTCACCGCAACCGGTCGGCCCCACCCGAAATCATTGTCGTACATCGGAAACCTCGGAGAGCTTCCCATAGTGATCATCGCTCCGTCAAAGTTTCCCAACGGGAACAGCCTCGGGTTACTCTCCCAATCCTTGATTCCCCGGCGAACCGTGGCGTCATCGTGGGCCACCACATTCCGGTGTAGCCGATATGCGCCCCACCTCAGATCGTTCGACAGCAGCTCTCCGGCAGAAGCGACGGTCGGAATGCTTTGTATCGCGTTCCCGAAGTATAGCGGGTGGAGCCTCGGGTCGACCCGGTGCCTGCAGTTCACCGCCATCCTGAACGTCGTCGTTTTGTTCTGTTCCAAGTTCCTGGCGCGCGTCACTGATCTCCACAGCTGCGCGCTGAGCGATTGAAACGATGAGATCTCGTCCGTCGGTTTCTTCTCCGACCGGAATTCGGTCACCGGCGCTATCTTTCCGTTGGGTTTCCCGTTGGCCGCCGCCCAATTGTCGTTACGTATTTTCCCGCTAATCTCTGGCTGCTTATCGTTGGCCCTTAGCTTGAGCTTCAAAATGGATTCCCGGCTGAAATGGAAGATCTTCTCACGCAGCGGCTCATCGCCTGAAAAAGTCGCCGACGGACCTCCGGCTGGAAATTGAAGAACCGCCGGAGAATTGAAGACTGTATCGCGGGAAAAGTCAGGGGACTTGGAGATCTTCTTAGGCCCTTTCAATTTACAAACTTCAGCAAATGTATTAAAGAAGTTCCAGAAAGATGTGCCATCCACCACCGCGTGGTTGACGGTGCATCCGATGAAAACTCCGTCGCGGAGCTCCGTCACCTGTACCGCCACAATAGGCTTAGAATGGCCAGCATAACTAAGGGTGTTGTCGAACTGAAAGAATTTCCGGAAGTAGGCTGGGATATCATCATCAGCACCTTGATCATCGGAATGCGCAGTGACGATATCGGATTTTGCATGAACGAACAGAACGCCGGCATCGTTACAGAGGATGTGGACGTGGCCATCGGAATCAGTTTGGAGCCGGCCGGCGAGGGCAGGGAAGTGGGAGAGAGTTTTGGAGAGGGAATTCTTGAGGAGATAAATGAGAGCGGCGGATTCAAAGGGAGGCTGGGAAAGCAGAACACCTTTCTGGATATACTGACAGGAAAGCATGGGAAGATCAGAAACAGAGAGCTTTAAAGACTTTAAGTTGGATTTGGATTCTGGATAAACTGTGAATTTGGAAACAACATGAATTGAAGGTGATGATGATGATGATGAAGAAGAAGAAGGCATCGTAGTATAATTGTATCTTCTTCACGGAAATTAATGTGGTAGAGTATGGGGTTCAGAAATCAAGAGTACGCAGGTAATAAAAAGGTTTTAGGAAGGTGGAGAACATCAGGGAAAAGAGGATATCTATTTATAGATTCGATTGATTCAACGCACTCAGGTATGGGTTCATGCACTTTGGAAAATCTGGTAGTTAGATGTTTGCCTGAATATCATTTTAATATTGTCATCCAACTTGTTTCTTTTTTTCTTTTTTCATTTCATTTTTGTCCTCTTTTAAAATTGCTACCATATATATATTTGGCACCGTTTCATGTAATCCTTCCTTCCGTTTTCAAATGTCCTGTTTGAATTTTCACTTTTAATGCAAATTAAAATGAAAATTTATAGTAGATAATCTTTTTGGACAAAAGAATCATCTATTATGTTTTACGAATCTAATTTGTGCATAACATAAATACGTAATAGTGATTAAAATATTTGTTAAAATTTGATTGGTTTAAATCTTAAAAAAAGTCTATCGTTCTAGATATTGAGCGTGTATCATTGTAACGATGGTGCTGGTGGTGGTGGTGGTTATTGGTGTATTTTCCGTGCTTCATCATTCACCCAATGTTGTCATGGAATTAAGTCAACTATGTATAATTACAAGCCCTTATAGTTGAGGAGGTTTAATCAGATAAACAAATGATGTAACAGTAAACTGTTTTAAGGAAACTTTCAGTCTAATATCCTATTGAAGAAGTACTATAAATGGAAGTGGTTATGGGGGAAGGGTGGGTGGTCGGCCCAATCTAGTCCCTTACCTGGCCGATACATATAAGAGGCAAAGAGCGTACGTTTTAGGAATGTAGAAATCAACTCCACCAAATTGAAATTAACAGAAAACTGAACCTGATGTATCATATATATGGATCATACGTACAAAAAAAATATGGATCATACGTACATGCACCTTGGTGTTCCACATGCATGATAGCTTTTGCAGTTAGCTGGCTACCAATCCAAAAGTGGCTAAACATTAACAGTGAGTATCGTTTAAATAAACTCTGTTACGCTTTTAGTGTTATACATGTATTATCTTGTTAATTTGTATACGCGTTCGTCTGAAATTTTGGATCGGGATGAGACACAATCATACACATTTAACCTAATGCGATCAACATCCAAAAAAAAAAAAAGGAACCTAATGCAATCTGAATCCGTTTTGATGGAGAGGTGCTCATGGATTCTAATGGTGCGGTGCCATAAGATAGGTATGGTCTATGTTTGTAGTGCCAACGATGTCTTCAACTATATAATGTTCCCGCTGGGATCTAAGTGGCCATAGCAAATCTTGAAGAGCCAAAGTCCCTATTTACTACATGCCTTTGTTTTTAGAATAAAGAAGTAGTTTTCATGTAAATTTGTTTGCAAAATTTTAATCTTACCCTTTTTGGTATATACAAATCAGTGAATCAAGGATGCACATACTGTGGTTGCTTAGCACGATAAGAAATGTGAAAAAAAAAATCACCACAAACCCAAACTTTACTGACGGTGAATCTTTAATGTTTTATACTGACCTTATGCATTTCACTTTTCTTTTTTTTTTAAGATGTATTATCTATCCCATATAGACACCGTAAAGAGAAGTGACTCAGTATATAAGTGTCAAATATCACCCCACTCATTGCCAATTGGTTTTGAGATGAAAGTCCAAAGTATTTATATATTTTACCATAGTATCAAAGCGGTCTAGGCCTGTGGTGGAGTTCTAGGCCGGAGGTGGCCCGTGGTGATTTTATATTCTCCCACTTGAGCGTTGACTCGTAGGTTTATTGTGGACCGATCCAGCGGTATAACTGGCTTTCTCTCACTTGAGTCTCAGTTGAGTGTTGACTCATGGGCTATTCTGTTCTTGTCCTAATCCAAGTCCATTGGACAAACGTCAAAGACCTATTACACTTGAGGGAGGGTGTTAAGGTGTATTATCTGTCCCACATCGCCACCGTAAAGAGAAATGAGTCTGTATATAAGTGCCAAAAGTCACTCCACTCAACCAATTTAAGATGAGAATCCAAGATACTTATATACTTTGACATTTTTCTCTGTTTTTTTTTTTCTTTTCTTTTCTGGGATACATGAACCACATGATGTTGCATGCAGTGCAGCACTAATGTGTGTTGAAGCATTTGGGCATCATCGATATCCAGGTTACCATATTATCATTGGGCCTTTCCAAATAAATTATATTAGACTAAAATATCTACTATCTATCTCGAAATGATTACCGGCTTGATTTATTAATCATTTTGAGACCTTTTCTGTCGTGAATCCCCTTTGCATTGTTATCCCAGATTTTTCAAAAAAAGGCCGCTGGGAAAGCATGATTGTAGCGGAGTATAAATTGTAATTTGCATACTCTTCAAAGTACAAATTAATGATTAGAATTTAGTAGCAATGAACGTATAAATTAAAAACGTGGGACATTCTTCGGTAATGAATTCAGTAAGATCCCAATTTCATGTATTCATGTTGTAGTATTTAGGATTGAAAAGTAAACGATCAAACAGCTATTTGGTAAATTAATTAGGGGTCTTGATAGTGACTCTTGTATCATATGTATATCCAACTCTTTTAATTTACTAATAATTATATATATTTGATTGCGATTTTTCTTCCCTGTTCATAACGTGGAGCAGTCGAACGTCGTAAAGGACAGTTTATATAATCTAAATAATGATCGGTGTTGAAATAAAAAAGCGGAACAAACAAAACTTATCTTTAAAGTTTGATCAAGATACGGAGACACATTTGACTGAATGTTTAGCCGCCATAAGTAAACAATACTGTTAATCGTGTTCAAAATATCCTATGAAGATATTTATGCATGGCATTGCTATTGCATCGATCACTTCAAGCACGAAAAAAGAATAAATGAAGCAGCTGCATTATCTTTTTAGGCTCTTGAGTAAATCTATAAAATAATTGTTGTTTTAGATTAAAAAAAAAATATTTTCTCTTTCAAAATTTTGTAACGACTGGCAGAAATACGGGATAATGTTTGATGCTGCGGCATTTGTTGGAAAACTCACACACACACACACAAATCCCTTTCCCTTTATGTTGGTACTTATTGGTCTTTGCCAGAATTATTATTATTATTATTATTATTTGTTACAAAGAATGAGACATAAAGCCTAATTTAGACTCGATATATTTTGAGAATAATTACTCCCATTACATCATATTTCAACCATGGTTGTATCCATGAAGGTGGAGCCTCAAGTCTATGTAATCTACCTGATCCTTATGTAGTTAATTAAGCTAGATAGTCATCCACGAAATTATCTTCTCAAAACACATGCGTGAGTTCCACATCTCAATTCCGTCTCAGTAAGTCTCGGATCCCATTAACTAGGCCAACATTGAGTCTGACAACTTCCTTCCGGTTTTTTGTTTTTTTTTTAAAAAAAAGATAATACTTCCCTTTTTTCTTTTTTCTTGGGGATTTGGGTGAGAAAATTTTAAGCAAAGAGTGACATTTGAAATTTTAGGAAAAACATGGCTTTTGTTATAATGAGAGTTATTTTATTATTATTATAGATAGATAGATTATAGATTTCACCATTTATTTTCATTGGATCAATAATAAATTTCTACGTCACATTACTATGTATTTAGGCTACGAACACCAATTACATCAAAGTTCAATGCAAACGCCTATATATAGAACATTTTCTCTTTCACTTGGGCTCTTTTGACAGTTCATATTTTCAAAAACAAAGGGGCAAGGGGAAAAGAAAAAAAAAAAAAAAAAAAGCTCTTGGCCTTTTAATCGGACAAACTTTGATATTATATCACATGGCAATGGGAAGTACATGTCACGGATTATTGGACAAACAAGGTGATCGGTTTTCTTACACTTTTTTCACAAAATTTGTCGTATTATATGTGTTGGTTAATGCATAAAATTGATTATTTTTGTAAATATACATTTACGTACTCATCAACAATTCTAAAAAGTACTCCACGAATATATTAATATAAACAACACTCTATTTTTGAAGGGACGGAAGGAGAGGAAATGAAAAAGAAAAGGAGTCTCTTCATAAGGCAGAAAGGGATCCACAACCAATCCTAATCGTATTTTGGTTGACATGGTATGGAGAATTATAGTCCATCTATATTTGCCCGGTAACCGCGGACGTCCCGACCACCATGCAAACGTTATCCATGGTTATCTTTGGTCGGTTCTCTTGCCTGAGTTCTTCTACCAGACGACACGACATTTTTATAGTTGATAGGTTCCACATGTTCTCACAGTTTCTGTGAAGACACTGATTCATTTCATGTAGGTCACCTTGGATATTGTATTCCAAACAAGAAGACTCCAAAAAAAAAAAAAAAAGAAACTTTATATTTGTAATTCCACAAATTAATTAGTGCTAAGATTAAGCTGTTGGGCCATTTTTCTTGTTGTGAGATTGTCACTTTCATTAGGTATAATCCGCACATGACCATACTTTAGCGCCAAATTATCGTTTTAGGCGGCTATTAATGGAAATTAGCAATCCAATTTAAAGTTAAAGTAATACCACTAGGGAGTTAAGATCTTTTTTTCTTTTTTTTTTGTCGCATTCCATGTGTGTTTTTGTATGCAATAGTCGTCAATTAGAAAGATGGTTAGAGCTAATCAAAATTTTGTATTTTTGATAATAACCACAAAAAAAAACGCGTTATAAGGTGAATAACCTACAAAAGACCAATTTCAGATGTTAACACTCAACATTACTGCAAGAGTCGGCATGTTCTATCCGTGGAGAGGGAGACAACTTCACTAGTGCGTATAATTTAGTTGTGGAAAGAAAATAGTTCATAATTTATTATTTTAATTCAACAAATAAACTAACTATTTTGGACCAGAAGAATCCTATTAAAAAGCGTAAATAAGTTATTGCCAAAAATTAACATTATAAGTTTATTTATAATTATTCCTCTTAAACCCACCAATCCAATTTTTTTTTTAGTGAAATCTAATTTTAGTATCACAGGGAATCATCATTTCATACATATTAGCTACAAGTTTGGTTGGTAAGATATCGAGTTGTCATTAAGTTAAGAATGAAATATATTTAAAAAAGGAAAGCCAAATTACTGTTACGACTTATTAAGAACAATACATCCTGTAGGCGAAGGGTTAAAATTTAAAATTGGCGATTGCTTATCGGTAGTAGGTCGGTAGGCCGGCGTAGTCAACTCTACTCGGGTTTT